AATATAATATGCGAGTACTTGTTTGGTCGGTGAGAGGAATGCACTGCAAACGTATTAAAAACAGTTAATAGTATTTGTATTCCCTATCGATCTATCTATCCGTGTATCCATCTATCTATCCATCCACGATAAGTGTCTCGTCCTGGCGATTACTCCGTATCGTAATATTTTTTTATACGCGGGTGGTGGAGAAGAGACTGAAGAGAAATGTTGGCCGACGTTCAAAATACGCCGTAGTAAACGATAAAGTATCGTTTTTTAGACGTTTGAAATGATATATCCCAAAAGCAAAAGCGCAACTAAGGGGTAGATGTATACATCAAAGTAAATCATATTATAACGTTATAATACGTCACAAATAATTAGTCTCTACCTAAATATATTATAATTTCTGACAAACTAATACTTTATCTTCAGTCGCCAGTCTGTTATATAATACAATTTACCGCGTCTCTTACAAAACGTTTTTTTTTTCTTTTTTTAAATATGATATCGTTTGTTTTTCTTTTTTTTTTTTTTTACCGCCAACCGGCCATGTCATCATAAAACTGATTTTATACTTAAAATTGATCTCTTTTTATTTTTAAAAATATTTTATATTACCTATGACGTATTGTGCATACGTCTTTGATAGTAAGAAGAAAAACAATTTCGATTTAAGATAATACGATTGCTTGACAAACTATTGATAAGATGGTTAAATGTGTCATGTTTACTGATATTTAAAACAAATAATTGGGCCGGCGAAATGGTATTCTCCCGGTCCGGTTAAAATTCAGAATCCGCTGTTGTAGGTAAGTATATAAATATATATACAGTAAAACCTTTAAATACCGGAAACTCTCGGTCGCCGTGAATCATTCCGACACATGAATAGTTAGTTATTCTGCTCTTCGGCGCAGAGCAAATCCAACAAATCGGAGATCATCAAAATCGGTCCAGCCGTTCTTACAAATATGTCCTCGTGAGATATCCTTAAATTTTTGTTAGGAGGAGAGTTCATAAATAAATATGTTTCACTTTGTAAATTTAATTCAATTACTAATGTAAGTTTCAAACACCAAAGTTAATGTTTGAAGTTTTTAAGCGATATGGTTCTAAATTTAATATCACACAGATATCGTTAGTAATTACGGGTTTTGGCGCTTTTGTACGATGCGGTTATTTTTTTTTTTTATTTACTAATATCATTTTGGCGCTTATGCCTTCCACTGTCAACGGCGAGTCCGTATCAGATAAAATGTACAAATTTCACAATTATTACTGTTGTCGTGACTCCTGTGTTATATAACATAATATGCTGGGTGATACTCTTATTACGAACCAGCGATTTTCTCGGAAGGGTTAGTCGATTGCTGTTTTTTTTTTTTTTTTTAATCATTACGGAATCGTTAAGGCTAATCTAAAAAAAACTTTAACGATTCCATATAATATGGTGGAAAAACAAAAACATAAGTCAAATTTTCGTAATATCCTGCGAGAACGTTGCTGATTCGTCCAATTGTACATTAGCGTGAAAATCTATAAACGGGAAACGCGAAACGGCATTTTATCGAATCGCACTAGCCCAGTTTTTGGGATATAAAGTACTGCGAAAAATGCTAATCGGTCGAAAAGAGAAGAATTTTCGACCAGTACGTGAATACAATAAAATCAAACGACGTATACATAATATTTTACTATTATTGTTTTCTGGGATAATGTCGAACGTCGAGTCTCCGTCGCCCCAACCAAAAGAAAATTATGTAAAAATAATAAAACGTATAAAAAAATAATAATAATAATAATAATAATAAAATATAATAACAACAATAAATAAGATCGGAACGTCGATACAACTTAGGCGATAAAAAAAATATGTGTACGAATAAATTGGGTTCGACGATGATTTATGGGAACTGGCAATAGTGTAATATTATTATAATTTTTTTTCCGAAACCGTTTCTCGCGCGTTATCAATATAATATTATACATTATAATATATTATACGAGTCTCTTTTCGTAGAAATAGTTCATTTTTGTGAGTACGGGATAAGTTTTGGTAATTTTTTTTTTATCGCATGTAGATAAGGAGGCTAGATCAGAACGTTCTCAAAAAAATAATCGCATGCAAATAATTTCTTTTTCGTTCGCATCGTATAATTTTCCGTTATAGTCAGATGTCGACTTGATGAAATAATTAGTGGCCGACACGTTTTCGGGTCTTCTTCGTGAATTATAACGAAAAAAAATGTACATGTATATTTTTATTCGTTGATGCCACGGGGCGATTTTTTCAGAAAATATCCACTTCTCCCACTCTTAATCCTGTAGTTATGTTATTATGATAATATATACCTGTAATAGAAGCGGTTTTACAGGTTCGGCCAATACTACATGCTGTGCTGCACCTGAAATTTTCACCTGCCACATACAACTAGCTAGCGTTTTGACAATTCAGCATTATAGGATTACCGTACACAAATATAGTTAGTAGTGCAATACGATGGTTTTTTTGTCAGATGAAATTTCGTCAGATTGTGGTAAACGGGTCATTCCAAATGTTCAATTTCATGTTGTTTGTAGTCGTTATTGCGTGACATTACGACGAGTAATAGTTCTTATGGTCTATTAGGATACATGGTAAAATCGAAGATTGGTAAAAATATTTCATATATAACAGTTTGCTATTATATATGAAGATAATTTGTGCACAGAAATAAAATTTTGAGAAATATAGATACCAGGTTTTCGGAGTAGTACTCAGATCATGATTGACTACGAAATTCTCAGTAGTGGCTTTCTAAACTTCTTGAAAAGTTTACAGCTAATATTGTCGCTATGACCGTAAACGTCACCTTTGAAAACGTATATACTGTTGTTAAAAGTAAACTTCATACAAGAATGGATTCTTTAAAGTCGTTATTTGTTAAATAATAAAAAATGTACATTAAAAATATTAAACGCTACAACGCATCGTCGTCGCTTCGTATTGCAATTTAATGTTTGTTCTACAATTGTTTTAATTGAGTTATGCAGTTAAATTAAAAAATTGTAAATACGTAAATGAAAAACAATAAAAACGGTGACACATGATTGTGTTCGGATCCAGAGCAAAGATCTAGGGAAGGGGGGCAACAAATTGTTTTTCAATGCAAATGCAATATTTAAAATGTCTATGTTCTAATTATTAAAGCAGGTACTGCCGCATAGTAGTTTAATCAACCACAATATAATTGTGATTGTCCGGGGCCGATTCTGGTGGCGATGTGGCGTACTCTCGTGTTGCCGTCCACAGTTAATATGTAAAAACGATATTACAATATTGGAATCGCAGTCCAAATGTCGCATGTATAATATATTAGCATACGCATATCTGTGAATGAAACATAATAATATCAGGACCTATGGAATTATAAAAAAAATCGGAAAAATATTGAGTCCGGGAGGGAGGAGCCTGGGCTCCTAGGTCTCCCCCCTTGGATCTGTCCCCGAATGATGTGTGTTCAGACGCGAATTTGAGATTCGATAACGTCGAAAATTACCGTTCGGTTACGCATATTCCGAACGAAGAACACGCAATAATGAAATTGAAAATAATAATAATAATATCCATACCATACCCATATGTTGTTTATTTGATTAACTTAAATATACTTAAAGGTAAACCGTACCTATAATATTATACTTTCGTATAGCTTATAATGGATTGCCTATATAATTGTATCGTAACGATAAAGTACGATGGTGTTTTGTCCTCTGTCGTACCTATGGTAGTGCGGTATAGTGCAGACCACGAATTAAGATGTACTGGATACCGACCGGAAAGGTCTTATCAATGTTTTTCTAAGGCCACCCGGTTCTCACTATTTGGCATCACAGCTAGCGCGTTAAGGAATAACTGATATAAGTTCGAGCTTTGTTTATTACACGTTCGTTCGGTACCCTGTATGTCTTAATTCGTGGCGCAGACTAAAGAACGGAACACACGTAATGTTACAGCAGTATTGATTTTGGACTTTCAATGAAAATACACCACTGGCATGGACGACTGTTAACAAACATTATAATTTGCACTGGCTTTTGAAAATCTCCGAGTACCGCTGCTTGTATCTAAAACTATATTAATATACCTATACATTATGTTATAGGCACCTACCCATAAAATATGTTAAATTGCTTAAGGAGATTTTTATGTTTTTGAACCGTACCGTATTCATGGTATTTTGTCTGTCCGCTACGGAAGTTATTTTTCTTATTATTTTTTTAGTTTTCATAATAAAAAAACCGATTATATTGAAATTGGAACTTTCGCATCTATACTATCGTCTATTTATATAAATGCACGAATATATTCGTATAAATACTGAATACGCCGTTATAATACGAACAATTGATAGATACCTAAAACTTAACGTCAAAGGTATATGGGTTTTGAGATGAGGTCCACGGATTGTAGGACGTACGTCAAAACTACAGTGTAAAATATCTATAACGCCGATCGTCGTAGCGATGGCAAATAAATACCGTTGGCAAATTAAACACCCAAACAAATCAACTGTTGCTTCGTGGATACGGTCGCCGGAAAAGTTTACGAGGGCCCGGCAACCGAGTAAACAACNGTTATAATGCGAACAATTGATAGATACCTAAAACTTAACGTCAACGGTATATGGGTTTTGAGATGAGGTCCACAGAACGTAGGACGTACGTCAAAACTACACTGTAAAATATCCATAACGCCGGTCGTCGTAACGTTGGCAAATAAATACCGTTGGCAAATTAAACACCCAAACAAATCAACTGTTGCTTCGTGGATACGGTCGCCGGAAAAATTAACGAGAGCCCGGAAACCGAGTAAACAACCTTAGTGTGCGATCCGAACAATTAGGTAAGAATAATATTAATTAAGAATATCAAATTTAAAGTCCGATATATCTAACAGTATAGTTTTTGTTTTTAGCTTTTTCATTTCCCTGCACATTCACGCGAGTCTTCGTCTTCGTATATTTTCCAATTATATGATCAACATGATGTCCACCGCGGTTTCGCTAGTAGAGAGCATGCTTTTCACGGCGAATTTGACGTTACTGGTACTGTGTTGGCTATGCGAAAAAAATACGAACATTGCCGTCGGAGTATGGAACACAATCGTTCTAATAAGGTACGCGCGTGAATCCGAAAAATCGTTTTATGTTGTTTTTTGTCCGTTTTAAAATAAGTAATCGGTGTCTTACATCGGGCGAATCACCTCGTCATCGCTACCCGCCGGCAAATAAAATGGACGATAGTGGTCTGCCTTTTCCGTCATTCGCGGGTTATATCCTATAAGATATGTACGTGAAAAATATCGTTTCCCGTGTTCACGACTAGCCTGGATTTTTATTCATATTTAAATAGCTCGGCGTAGGTACCTAGGATTGTATTCACTGATGAACGGTATGATATAANGTCAAATAATCAGCGGGCATACGACTTGTCACTGGCAAGGCCGTTGCCTTCACACCTTACACATTTAAGCAAACACCTTTGCATAGAGTTTTCTGTACAGAAAATTCGATCTGTATTTTCCGGAGTATACGTTTAAAATACCTGCTCGATTTGCGTCTTTACTAATTATATTTATTAAAATATATTTGGTGTGTGTTGGACATTATTGTAATACCTATTAGATTTATGAGTTTTAAATTTAATTACAGAGACGCTTGGCATTTGATAGTTAAGGATGTGTACACCACGTTTAAAGATGAGGATCCGGTCGACGAAGAACCTGAATTAGTGGTTTCTTCCAGTGATCAATCTGGCGATCAAATTTCGTGCTCCATAACGGCTGACCTGGTTTCACGGTCGTTCCCCCTTTGCCACTTTCCATTTCCACAGGGAGGAGAAAATACCGCCCAGGAACTCGGTAAATATACATTAAAAAAATTCAAATATACACCTAACTCCTAATAAATTATATTTGACTTCATGTAGAAGAAGTCATGAGAAACATGCAAGTTGTTGATTTGACAATAAAAAGAGTACAACCCCTCGAAAATAGCATAAACTATTTGCAGTTTGTTTATTTAGATTTGAATTTGGGAAAGGGATTATTATCGATATTTAATGTAAGTATTTAATTTTGATTTGAGTGTTTATATTTTTCACCTTATGTTGCGATTAAACTTATTTTCACTAATTTTGGTCAATTTTTATTAAATCATCTTAAAAAAAAAAAATAAATAAATAAAATGTATGTTACAATGAGACCATAAAGTATTGTAATTTAAAAGAATTAAATTGTTTTAATATTTCGCAGGAAATGTTTGAGTTTGTTGATTTTCTTTTTCTGGATCAATTGGATTTTCTGCATTATCGTATTGACGATTCAGAATTGGAGATTGTTGCTGTATTTAATGGGGAAACAATAGTCCTGGAAATGAGATTGTAAGTGGTTTTCTAAGGTTTTAGTATAAATAATTAAACTTATCAG